AAAAGTTTAAATAGTAAAAGTCTAAATATATAAGTAGTAAAGCACACATTTGCGCGCTTATTTTATAAATTAAAACTTATTTTTATTTTAACTTTTAAGTTTTTTATTTTTTACTTTTATTTCTATATTAAATATAAATAATATAACGCTAATAAATAAACTTGTGCATGCAGGCCTGTAAATTACTATTATAGCTAGCAATACTAGCTGCAAGCTATTAATAGTTGCCTAGTATAAGTTATTACTTTTTAATTATTTTAAGCTAGTAAATAGTAACTGCTAGTACTATAAGAAAGTATACAGATACTTTAAAATTAACTTTTTTTCTTACAGCAGGCTCTTTTTACTCTGCCTAGTTAATTTTAACTTTTTAGCATTTTTTTATAATAAGCTAGTTATAACTAGGCAATAGTAATACGCAACTTTTTCTATAGTTAGCTACTATATAATAATGCAAAACTTTAACTTTAGCTGCAACTAAACTGCTTTTATTAAAAACTAGAAAAACAAGCTTTTATAGTTTATAAAAAATATTAAAAGTAACGCAAAGCTTGCAGCGTATTAAAAAAAAATTTTTAAAAATTATAGTTACTAGCAGTATAATAATTAAAAAATACAGCTTTTTAAAATAGTTAACTTAGTGCGTAGGTAGATATAAGTAGTAAAGTAAGTAATAAAGCAGAAAAGCAAGTAATAATAATTTAGATATACTATAAACAATAGCTTGCACAGGCAAAAGAAAAAAGTAAAAAAGTAGTTAAGTATTTAAACTAATATTGCAGGAAAAGTTGTTATTATTATTATTATTATTATTATTATTATTAGCGTTGCTATTATTACTTAAAAGCCTAGTATTAATTAGCTGCTTAGCAGTTTAATATTACACTAGATATTTAGACATATGCTTAAAGGCTGTTAAAAAAAACAGCGCCTTAGCAGTTAAAGTTATATTATTAAAAGTTAGAAGTTTATTGCTTAGCAATTCTAAAAATAAAAGTACGCAATACACAGTAAAAATACTAATAATATAAGCTATTAATAACACATTAGGTCCCGTCTTCGCGGGATACAATATATATATAAAAAAATTTTTTTTTTTTATATAATTATCTGCCTGTGCCTTTGCAGCAAGCTATATTAATTATTAATAATTATATAATATTTATTAATGCTATCTACATAACGCCTATTAATAATTTCTTTAATTCTGCCTTTTACCCTATTATTTTATTAAATATTATAAAAAATACTTTATACTAAAATAGCTTTTTATATAAAACTAGTATATTAAACTAGTATAAGTAAGCATTTAAATACTTTAATAAGCTTAGATAAATTTTTTAAAATTTAAATACTAGGCTTTTTAGCATGCTAAAGCACTTTATACTTAATTATTTTTTTTTAAAAATTTAAACTATTTTAACTAAAAAGAGTTTTACTAAAAAAAATTAAATATATTAGCTATATTTATTGTTAGCTATTAGATGTAGACTTTTTACTATAATTTAATTATAGGCTAAAAGGCTTTTATTACTAATTAGTAAAAAAAGTTTAAAACTATTTATACAAGTTTTTAAAATAAAAAGCTTATTTAACTATATTAAAAATTATTCTTGCGCTATTGTAGTTACTAGTAATTTAATAACTAAAAGCAGTAGCTTTTTGCAGCTATAGAAATTATATAAATACTTAAGTAGAATAAATACTTAAAAAAGTTAAAAAAGCAAATAATTAATTTAGGCAATAGAAGGGAGGCGCAGGCAAAGAAGAGCAAAAGGGATTGTATTATAAAAAAAGTTATTTGCATTACTATTATTTGCGTTGCTATTATTTATAATATTATTACTATTTTATAATTATTATTGCTTAAAGGCCTAGTATTAGTTAGTTGCTTAATAGTAGTTTAATGTTATACTAGATATTTAGATATATACTTAAAAACTGTTAAAAAAAACTGCGCCTTAGTAGTTAAAGTTATATTAGGAGTTAGAAGTTTATTGCTTAGCAATTCTAAAAATAAAAGTATACAATATATAGTAAAATTACTAATAATATAAGCTATTAATAATACATTAGGTCCTGTTTTTGCAGGGACAATACAACTATATAATAAATAATAATATATAATTATAAGTTTTAACTGCAAGCTTTATTTTATATATTTTATAAAAACTATGTCTATCGCGCAAGCTATTACTAATTATAAAAAAGTATTAGCTATTAAAGCGCAAGCTTACTACTAAACTAAAGCTTGCTTAAATTTTAGTTTAAAAATTTATCTATGCTTTAATAATAGTTTATAATTAAAATTTAAAGCTACTTAGTAATGCTTAAACAACTTAGTTACTATTAAGGAATCTATAGTTCTATTACTACAATTTTTAAATAATAACGTATTAAGGCTGCTAATAGCGATTGTTAAAAGTTTTTTAATAATTTATTTAGCTAACCTAGTATTATATAAATTTTACTGCTTTAATACTGTATTAAAGTGCTAGGTATAGTACTTAAACTATAATCTTTATACTAATTTCTTCTACTGCGTAGTATAATCCGCTCTAGCGTCAACTTTACTTTTAATTATAGAAATAAGCTAATTACAGTTAAGTATAATTATAATATATATAACTAAAAATTGCTTGCGATAGTTAAAAATCTAAAATATTAATGTTATTATTTTAAAAGTATTTACTTTAAAATTTTAATAAATTACTAAAACTTAAAATAGTTTATAAAAATTAAAACTTTTAACTATTATTAAGTAAAGTTGTACTTAGTACTTATTTAGTACAATTTTAATTTATAATATTATTTTAAAATTATAAACTTAGCTAATAGTTTATTTAAGCATTTAAATTATATTATAAAAGCTTAAAAACTAGCGTAAAAGTATAATAAAATTTTTATAAAATTTTTATAATATATTTTTACTAATAAAAGTAAAAATACTCTACTAATTTTAGTAGTTATAACTTATTCTACTAATAAAAGTAAATTTTAAATAAATTTTTAAGAGGCCTTAAAAAAGTTTTAAAAAGCTAATAAAAATTTATTAAAAAAACCTGCTTTTATGCAGGAGCGCAATATAACTAAAAAAAAAAAAAAAAACTACTTTTAAAAAATTAAAAGCAAGGGAGCTTTATAATAGCTTAAAAAAGGCTATTATACTTTATTTTAAACTAAAGGAACTAACTATAGTTAAAGAAAAAATAAAAGCAATAAAAAAATACTATAATAATTTAATAGTAAGTTATTTTAGCATAAGAAAAATACTAGAAAAGCTCTAATACTATTATACTTAGAAAAAAATAAAAAAGGATATAAAAAAATATTATAAAAACTATTTAAACTATTATAAATTAATAGTAGCTAAATACTATTTTTATAGCCTTTTAGCTCTGCTTTTGCTTTTAAATTAGGCATAAAAAAAAGTTACTATAAACTTTATTATAAAATTATTTTTAAGCAAGTTTGCTAGCGTAGTATATAATATAATATTTATAATAGTATACTATTTAATAAAAATATTATACTATATTTTAGCTAAAAAAAATTAAATAGGTACTAACCTTATTTAAGTTTAAATTTAGGAAATTATCTAACTATATAGTATACTAAAAAAATTATTTTAAATAAAAGTTTTTTTATAAAAGCTATATACTAAGATATATTTTAATACTATTTTAATTTAAAAAGAATATTTTTATTTACTTTTTACTTAAAAATAAATAGGCAGACTAAAAAACAGAATTAAATTTTAAAATAGTATTTTTAGTACTTTTATATATTAGAACAGAATAATTAAGTTTTATAAATTTTTATAATAGAATTTATATATAATAATAGCTTTTACTTTATTATAAGTATTATACTTTTCTAGGCATATTACAGTATAAATCTAGTTAGGCTAAATTAGCCTACTATACTTTTTAAATAAAAGAAAATTTACTTAAAAAATAAGTAGCTGCAAAAGTATTTAATATTTAAAAAAATTATAAAAGCAAGATCTTAGCAGTAAATAAATATTAGAAATTATATACTAATAAGAAAAAATTATTTATTTTTTTTACTATAAAAAACTAAGTGCTAGTTTCTAATTATAATATATAATTTATAAAATTAAAGAAAAAGCTAAACTAAAAATATATAAAACTTAGAATTATAATAGACTAGTATAGCCTATTAGAGTTTAAAGTAGACTTTTTTAAATTATAAAAAATTTACTTAGTTTTTTACGCTTTATTACTAAAGCTATATAAACTAATTAGGCAGATTTTTTATTTAAAAGCTAAAAAAGTTAATATATTATGCAAATTTAGCAATAATGTGTATATTATAAAAAAAATAGTAAAAAAAAAAAAAAATTAAAAGGATAAATAAAAGTACCTAACGTATTACACAGGCAAGTTAGTCGCCTAGTTAAGTTAGTTATAATGCTAAAATTTTACTAAAATTAGTACTATATATAATAGTATAGTACTGTAGAAGACTATAGCAGTAAATTATAATAAGCTAATTTATTTAAAAATTATTTCTACTTCTTGCTTGCATATTTGCGCATTATACTTAGCTTTACTACAATATTTATAGCGCTTTTAAAAAGGCTTACCTGCCTTAATATATATTTATTTTTTTACTTTTTTTTTATTACTACGCGCCTTAAACTCTTTTAGAGTTATTAGTTAAAAACTATTTTCTATTATAAAGGTTTTTTCCTTTTATACCTCCTTTTTTTTATATAATTTTTATTATATAATAGCTTTATTAGCTGCTTAAAGCTTAGTAATTTTTTTTTGCGCTAATACAAATTTGTGCGCAACTATAGCTGTACTTTTTAAAAATTTTTTAAAAGCTTTAATTATTAAAATAAAAAAATTATTTAAGTGCTTTTAAATTTTTATTTTAACTAATATTAATTAAAATTTAAATTCTAGAGTATTGCTTAGTATTTTTAACTTTTAAAGACTATTTTTAATAGTAAGTAGTAATAAAGTACGCAACTAAATATTAAGCTTTAATATTATAACTTTAAAGTTAAAAAAAACTAGACTAGCGCCTTTAAAGCTACTTAAAATATTGCTTTTTATAATAGTAGTATTAAAAGCTAGTTTAAAGCATAGTAAAAATTTAATTTTAGTAATATAGTTAATGCTATTGCGCATTAGCTTTTTAGCTTAGTACTTATATACTTTTTTTAAAAGTATAAAATAACTTATATTAAGTAGCTATAGCAGGTGCGACAAATATAGAAGCATATAAAAAGTAATAATTTTTTATTCTTTGTAGTACTGCTAGAATTAGACTAATATATAGCTTTTATAACTATTAATAATAAATAAATAATAAGTACTAATAACCTTCCTTTTAGTATACTTATTAAAGTGCTTTAACTACTTAAAAGTAAGCTTATTTATTATTTAGCCATTTTTAGAAACTGTAATAACTTAATTATAAAGTAAGTTATTTTTTTTATACTAAGCTAAAAAGTAGTTCTTGCCTGCAAAAATAATAAAAAGTAAAATAGCTTATTTTATTATATTAATATTTTAAATTACTATTACTTACTTTTAATTACCCTGCTGCACTATTTTTAGCTGTCTTTAATAGTTAGCACTTAAGACAATAGTTTTATATAATATTTAGCCTATTATAAAGCTTATTTTATTAAAGTTGTATATATTTTTATTCTAAATACTATGCTTAGCTTTTATATTTTTTATAAGTTAGAACTAGCTTTGTACAAGCTTAGAATCTTTATATAAAATTTTTTAGTAGTTATACTTTTAAAAAATTTTAGTACTAAGCTATAAATATTGTTTAATAAACGTGCTAGCCTAGTTCCTGCTAATAAGTAGTTGCCTATATTTAGCTAGCAAAGTATTAGCTATATTATTTACAGCAGCTAGTTAGGGCAGAAATCCTTAGTTTTTAAAATAAAATATATACTAAGCAATTACTTTTTTTTTTATTAAAAAAAGCCTTATCTTATTAAGCCTAGTATTGTGTTATAAAAGCTTTCCTTTTAGTTAATTACTAAGTATTATTTAAAAAACGCTATAGATCTGCGCAGCTTTTTATTAAGAAAAATTCGCATTGCGTTTTAAAGCTTAAATTATAAGCTATATTTAGTTTTTTTTTTAAAAAAATTGTATATTATTGTATTAAAACATTGCGTTTAATAGTAGAAAACTACTAATTTTAGTAAAATTTTAGTATTATAACTAACTTAACTGGGCGACTAACTCGCCTGTGTAATACGTTATACTATTATATATAATACTAATTTTAGTAAAATTTTAGTATTATAACTAATTTAACTAGGCAACTAACTTGCTTGTATAATATATTATGCAGTAAACTGAGTTTCTAATAATAAAAGCTGTATTTTTCTTCTTTTTTGCCAAATTTAGTTACCTACTTAGGTAAAAATCCAAATTTTTGCAGCTTAATTTTTTATAACTAACTTTAGAGGGCCTCTTTGCCCTCGCTGTAGCTGTTAATAGTTAGTACTTAAAATAATAGTTTTATATAATATTTAGCTTATTAAAAAGCTTATTTTATTAAAATTATATATATTTTTATTTTAAATACTATGCTTAGCTTTTATATTTTTTATAAATTAAAACTAGCTTTATATAAGTTTAAAATTTTTATATAAAGCTTTTTAGTAATTATACTTTTAAAAAGTTGTAATATTAAATTATAAATATTATTTAATAAATGTGCTAGCCTAATTCCTGCTAATAAATAATTGTTTATATTTAGCTAGTAAAATATTAGCTATATTATTTATAGCAGCTAGTTAAAGCAGAAATCTTTAGTTTTTAAAGTAAAATATATACTAAATAATTATTTTTTTTATTAAAAAAAGTTTTATACTATTAGGCCTAGTATTACGTTGTAGAAGTATTTTTTTAAATTAACTACTAAATATTTTTAAAAAAATACTAAATATTTGCGCAGTAGCTTATTAAAAAAAAATTATATTTTATTTTAAAACTTAAACTATAAACTATATTTAATTTTTTTTTTAAAAAAATTATATGTTATTGTATTAAAGCATTGCGTTGTATTATAAATATAGTTTAAATTTTAATAAAATTTTAGTAAAGTGCGCAGCTCGCCTGTGTAATATATTATATAATAAGTAAAAAATTTCTATTTTTTTATATTTATTTATTAATAATAAAAGTTATACTAAGTATTAAGCTTACTAAAGTAGCTAAAATAAAAGCTTTTAACTAGTTATTTAAAAGACTAGTTAGCTAAACTAAGTTTATAGCTAACTAAATATATATAACTTTTTTTAAATAGTTTAAAAAAATAATAAAAAAATAACTAATTAGGCTGTACAGACTAACGTACTTCTATAACAAGTAGTTAGTTAGGACGAGTAGTTAGTCTCTGCTAAGCCCCTACTAAAACCTACTATTATTTATAGTATATTGCAATTATAGTATATTGTACTATAGCTAATAGTATATAGTATTAATTTATAGTATTTTTTATATTATTTTTATATATACGCGCGTTGTGCCCTATTTTATTGCAGCATTTATAGTACTTTTAAAAAAGCTTATCTGCTTTAGCGCGCGCTTTTTTTTTTACTTTTTTTTTATTACTACGCGCTTTAAACTTTTTTAAAATTATTAGTTAAAAACTATCTTCTACTATAAAAGTTTTTTTTTTTTATATTTACTTCTTTTTGTGTAATTTATATTGTATAGTAGCCTTATTAGCAGCTTAAAGCTTAAAATTTTATTTTTATATTAATACTATTAAATGCGCTATTATTTCTGCACTTTTAGTAAATTTTACAAAAGTATTTACTATTAAAATAGAAAAGCTATTTAAATGCTTTTAAATTTTCTTTTTTAAAAGCATTAATTATAACTTAAATTCTAAAGTATTACTAAGTATTCTTAACTTTTAGGCACTATTTTTAATAGTAAGTAATATATTACACAGGCGAGTTAGTTGCCTAGTCGAGTTAGTTACAATACTAAAACTTTACTAAAATTAGTACTATACACAACAGTATAGCACTATAAAAAACTGTAGCAGTAAATTATAATAAGTTAATTTATTTAAAAATTATTTCTACTTTTTGCTTGCATATTTATGTATTATGCCTAGCTTTACTATAGTATTTATAGCGCTTTTAAAAAGGCTTACCTGCTTTAGTATGCGCTTATTTTTTTACTTTTTTTTTATTACTACGCGCCCTAAATTCCTTTAGAATTATTAGTTAAAAATTATTTTTTACTATAAAAATTTTTTTTTTTTATACTTGCTTTTTTTTATATAATTTTTATTATATAGTAGCTTTATTAGCTGCTTAAAGCTTAGTAATTTTTTTCTGCGCTAATATAAGCTTGTGCGCGACTATAGCTGCACTTTTTAAAATTTTTTTAAAAGCTTTAATTATTAAAATAAAAAAACTATTTAAGTGCTTTTAAATTTTTGTTTTAACTAGCGTTAACTAAAACTTAAATTCTAAAGTATTACTTAGTATTTTTAACTCTTAAGGACTGTTTTTAACAGTAGGTAATAATAGAGTACGCAACTAAATATTAAATTTTAATATTACAGCTTTAAAATTAAAAAAAACTAAACTAGTGCTTTTAAAGCTACTTAAAATATTGCTTTTTATAATAGTAGTATTAAAAGCTAGTTTAAAGCACAGTAAGAATTTAATTTTAATAATATAGTTAATGCTATTGCATATTAATTTTTTAGCTTAGTACTTATACGCCTTTTTTAAAGGCGCAAAATAACTTATATTAAATAGCTATAGCAAGTGCAATAAATGCAAAAGTATATAAAAAGTAATAATTTTTTATTTTTTATAGTACTACTAGAATTAGACTAATGCGTAGCTCTTATAACTATTAATAATAAGTAAATAATAAATACTAATAACTTTTTTTTTAGTATACTTATTAAAGTGCTTTAACTACTTAAAAGTAAGCTTATTTATTATCTAGCTATTTTTAGAAACTATAATAACTTAATTATAGAGTAGGCTATTTTTTTTATACTAAGCTAAAAGGTAGTTCTTGCCTGTAAAAATAATAAAAAGTAAAATAGCTTATTTTATTACGTTAATATTTTAAATTACTGTTACTTATTTTTAATTATTCTGCTGTACTATCTTTAGCTGTCTTTAATAGTTAGCACTTAAAACAATAGTTTTATATAATATCTAGCCTATTATAAAGCTTATCTTATTAAAGTTATATATATTTTTATTTTAAATACTATACTTAGCTTTTATATTTTCTATAAATTAGAACTAGCTTTGTATAAGCTTAGGATCTTTATATAAAACTTTTTAGTAATTATACTTTTAAAAAGTTTTAGTACTAAATTGTAAATATTATCTAATAAATATGCTAGCTTAATTTTTACTAATAAGTAGTTGCCTATATTTAGCTAGCAAAGTATTAGCTATATTATTTATAGCAGCTAGTTAGGGCGGAAATCTTCAGTTTTTAAAGTAAAATATATGCTAAATAATTATTTTTTCTTTTATTAAAAAAAGCCTTATTTTGTTAGGCCTAGTATTGTGTTGTAGAAGCTTTCTTTTTAGTTAATTACTAAATATTATTTAAAAAATGCTATAGATCCGCGCAGCCTTTTATTAAAAAAAATTTATATTATATTTTAAAGCCTAAACTGCAAACTATATTTAGTTTTTTTTTAAAAAAAATTATATATTATTGTATTAAGGCATCGCGTTTAATAGTAAAAAACTACTAATTTTAGTAGGGTTTTAGCATTGTAACTAACTTAACTAAGCGACTAACTCGCCTGTATAATACGTTAATAGTAAAGTATATAACTAAATATTAAGCTTTAATATTATAGCTTTTAAATTAAGTAGTACTAAGCTAGCACTTTAAAAGCTTTTTAAAATATTGCTTTTTATAATAGTAGCGTTAAAAGCAGCTTTAAAGTATAGTAAAAATTTAATTTTAATAATATAATTAATGCAGTTGCGTATTAAAATTTCGGCTTAGTACTTATATACTTTTTTTAAAAAGGCAAAATAGCTTATATTAAGTAGCTATAGTAAGTGCGACAAATGTAGAAGTATATAGAAAGTAATAATATTTTTTTTTTGCAGTATTAGTAGAACTTAACTAAGTTATAATTTTTATAGCTATTTATAATTAAAAAATAATGCGCGCTAATAGT